CTCGTCTGACTTCAAGTTGAACACAGTCCACTGCATGATCCAAGTAACAAGGTCTCGCCAAAGTCGGGCTCAATTTTAACTCGGTTCGCGCACCATAAAAAAGCCGACCAATCATAGCGATTACCTGAAGCGACGACCATATTGAAGCGCTAAATTTTGAATCAAATACAGAAACAAATTTAAAGAACATAAAGAATAATAAATTAAAAGTAAAATAATTCTTTATTAAATATTAATATTTTTTATTAAATACTTATTATTAACTTGATACATAACATTCACATATATTGGTTGCTTGGAATCTTGAAAATCAAATTACTATTTATTGCAATATTTATTATTATTATTAATAACTTTATATTTATTAATATTAACAATAATTAAAAATAATAATTATTATTAAAAATAAAATAACATTCATAATAATTTATTAATATTAATTACTATTTATTGTAATATTTATTATTATTATTATCAATAATTTTATACGTATTAATATTAATAATAACAATTAATAATATTTATTATTAAAAATAAAAATATATTAATAACAATAACAATCTTATTTTCTGGATTTGAAACACATTTAAAAATACGCGGCTAGACTTTCAATATGGTCGTCACTTCGTCCGCATTCTGATTGGTGCTTGGTTCCACGTTTTTTTTGCCTGCGCGTGGCGAGACCTTGTTACTTGGATCATGGTCCACTGCGACAGAACGAGATTGTATGAGAGACGCCGAGTCGAGCACATGGCGAGTGTTTGTAAATTTTTAAGGTTAGAACCTAGTGTGTTGAGATAATCATAAATTAGAACAATTTTGAGTTATCGAAGTGTATGAGCACTGTTAGTTAATTATCGTGAATCTAACTATTTAATATTGAAAGCTGAGTGACTTGATTAACTCAAGAGCGGAGTTGTATTATTGTTATAATTGTTTGGCGTAGACGCCGATATTATAACCTCTGAGGACTGTGTCAACCAGCGATCAAATTATTGTTAACCTCAGGTCCAGCGTTTGTAACGATAAAACATTACCATTTGGTGAGTTAATTATAATAGATTGAATATTGTTCTTGATTTGCTTGTATCAGTGAAATCACCCCCCCCCCCCTTTTTTTTGTTCAAATAGAGTCTCAAGATAAATTTAATAGAATAATTATAAAGAATATACTTCTGATATTTTAAGTAAAATCAAATAAAATAACTGACGCTTAACTAAGCATTTTGTTAATAAAATTTGAGTTAAATAATTATTGTTTAACAATTTGAAGGTGACCATTATTTAAGCGTCTTATTATACTTGGCAGTAAAAGTAGTTTGCTGGTTCAACTAATAATTCTGTCAAGTGGAATTTATTTAAATTCAGGCCTTATAAATACGATTAATATTCCTTTTTTTTGTATTTGTTTAAATTTACAATTTATTGGGTGACAATAAATTGGCGCTCAACGTGGGGCCCACCAGCGTTTTTCTACCACTGAAACACTAAGCAAAATTTATTTGTTTGATTTATTTATTGATTGATTAATTGTCTGTATTTAATATTATTGAAATTTGATATTTATGTGTATTTTTTATAATTATTTGAATTTTTATTTGAAGTTGGTTATGTGCGAAAAGAAATCCTGAAACGTGCACGATTTTTGTCTCGTGCATACATTTTGAAATTTATTATTGTTCGAATGCAAATTTAACAATAATCAGGATTAAATTGGATTTATTTAATTTTTCCTGTGTTAATTATAATGAATTATTTATATTCTGTCAAGAAATTAAAGAGGAAATTTTAGCCATACAATTAAAATTTTATACCAGTCAGAATTTCTAAATACAAAATGGCCGATCCACTATGGCAAACAGAGTTTTTAAAAATTATGTACATTTTTCTATAAATCGGTATTCCAATATTTTTTGAGTCGATAATTAGGAATCTGATGTCAAACTTTAAAAATTAAAAATGGACTATAGGACATAGAGAATAGATTTATTGAGTACTTGATATTTACTTCTAAGAATCAGTTTCTTCACTAATGGAAGTTGTCGAGCTGGTCTTTGTTCCTTTTCATCATATTATGCTCGGAATTATTTTATTTTTAAAGTGAAGCTTCTCAATGTTTACTGCTTCTTCTTGATTGTTCCTCTATTTTAATTTTTAAATTAAAACTAAAAAATATCGAAAGATATTCTGATTCAAAAATTAGAATTTAAATTCATCTGAATAAAACTCACAATTTTGTATCTAAAATTTCTGTATTTTCGTATTCACGCAACGAATGAAAATTATGTACTCAAATAACGTAACAAAGAACAGCTCGACAACTTCCATTAGTGCAGAAACTGATTCTTAGAAATAAATATCAAATTCTCAATAAATTCATCGTCCATCCCTGGCGGTTTGGGTTAACGTAAGTCTACCCTAGTTATGGTAGGTTTTGGGTAGACTCAAAAAATTACTATTATTCAATGAAATATTATCAAATAAATTATTGGGAATTATAAAGGAACAGTTGTAAAGTAAATTTTTGAAGTATTTTATATATAAATTGAACAATTATAAATAAATTATTGATATCTGAAGTGACAAAGTAGTTTCCAGTAAATATAGTGTGTTTTATATAGCATACATATTTAGTGAATAAAGAAAAGGAAAAATTAGGAAAACTTATTTAATTTGACAAAAGTAATCATTAAAGCATTTATTTATTAAATATTTAGGGCAAATTAATGTTTACTTATTCAATAATTAATATTTAAAGTTGTGCAAAGACAATTAATAGTATATTTAATAGAATATAAAAAATAAAAAAGCTGAAAGTAAATAGAAATAGTGCTACAATCAATTATACTACAAAAGATAAAATAGGCAATTTTTCTCCGTTTTTCTAAAATTATTAGAAAGTTTACTTTTTAGACCAATTAAAATGAGATTTTAACTCCTCCTACTTTAAGAAAGCAATTTTTTTTTATTCGTTGTTTCAACAGTACAAAAAGGAAGTGAATATTTAATTTTAGAAAAGTTACATTTAGTCTTAACGCATTAAGAAAAAAAGACTTCTGGACAATAAAAACAAACTCCTCCTATTTTCAAAATGCAATTGAGGGGCTGGATGCATCCAGCCCCTTAATTTTTTATTTGTTGGGGTTTGGGAGTTGAAATTATATGTTTCATTTTTTAAACATACATTTTTTCCATTTTGTTTAGATTAACGAACAAATAGAAAAATTGATTTTAAAAATAGGAAGAGTTTGAATATTTTTTCGTGAGGGGTTGAGACAAAATTTTACATTTTTCAAAGTTTAATATTTGCTCTATTTTGTTTATCTTAACCAACAAATAAAAAAATAGCTTTCTTTAAGAAGGATGAGTTTAAATTTTATTTTATTGGTCTAAAACATCCATTTTTTTGGGCTTGGAATTATGTTTTATTTTTTAAATATTAATTTTTTCTTTATTTTGATTAACTTAACCAACAAATAGAAAAATTGATTTTGAAAATAGGAGGAGTTTGTTTATTATTTTTATTGGTCTAAATCATTCATTTTTTCTTTGGGGGTTGGGATTATATGTTTTATTTATCAAATATTCATTATTTTCTCCATTTTGTTTAACTCAACCAACAAATAAAAAATTGCATTTGAAAGTTGCAATGCAGATTCATAACGAGTAATGCCTTAGTCTCAAAATATACCTTAAACAATATTTCTGGAATTTTTTTGTGTAAATCTTTGCAGTTTCATTGTTCATTACTTTTAAAGAAACGAAAATAAAATCCTTCAAGTATTACGTGAACCAGAATTACCTGAAAAAGCCGATATTCCTTGGGATACAGTCTATGATGCTGCTGAATCACAAACAATATTTATTTCTGAAGCATTTCCAGCGGTACGCGTGGAACTTACTTCCAACGTGACCCTGCGTAAGGAATATGAAGGTGGGCTGAAAACAACGGAATTTGGTGAACAACATGAACAGCAATTTGACACTAGCGCGGGAATTGAAAGTAATATTACGGTAGTGTCAACGCATTCGACTGAATGTCAAAAGACCCACACTGTTTCTAGTCGTTATCTATTTCCCCCTCGTTGATAGTTTCCACCTCTAACATGACATCGACTAGCATTGTCACTACCTCAATTAGTTCGGCAGCACCCCAATTTACCAGCGCAATAGTTCATACGACAACTTCTTCGTTTCCTCGAATATCCTCCGCTGTTGTTCCAAAAATGGTTAAATTGCAACAATTTAGTCACATGCTCGAAGATTCGGACTACTACAGTTACCGAGAGTTGAGAAATGAACAACGACGTTTAGTAGAAAATAATATTGTTAACGTGGACTTAAAAATGGCACGTTCAATATTGGAGATCAAGTACTCTGGACAACGCATCAATTATCCAGTGGTGCTAAGAAACAAATTTGCGACTAAATTAGCACCCAAATTTGAAGGTCCATTTAAAAACGTGAAAATATTATCTCCATTGGTTTACGTATTAAGTACACAAAATAGTCACAGGATCACAAAACTGCACGTTTCAGAACTAAACAGCATGTGACTGTTAGAAATTCCATGGTTATTTTTTCGACCACTTTTCTCTTTAAATATTTAATAAATTGAGCTTAAATTTTCTAAGAAAGTCTAAAATGTGATAGAGAAGAGTAGTGATGTGCAAAAGTTTTGATAATTCAAAAATAAATTATAATAATACACTTTGAAATCAGTAAAGACGAGAAATTGATTAGAGGTGACCGTGACAACTTACAATTTTAAAGTAATTTGTAATAATTATTCTTAAAGATATTAAAACTTTTGCACATCTTTGCCTTTCTTTATTGTATTTTAGATTTTCGTACAAAATTTGAGCTCAATTTATTAAATATTTAAAGAGAAAAGTAGTCGAAAAAATTACCATTGAGAACCTAACAATCACATGCTGTTAATCGTTATCTTCTGCCACGAATGTTTAATAATTAGTATTATTTTGTTCATACTGTTTCAGTTTCCACCGATAATAATTGTTCGGATACCAACATCCCGAATTAATATTTACCAGCGTTGTGTGAAGTCAGAGAGAGAGTTTGTTTTAGAAGGAATAGTCCGAAATATGTCAGGATCATCAGGGAAGAGGTCATTCCATTCTGAAAAAAACAGCAATGAATCTGACCTTATCAGCTGGGAGGATGTACCTCCAGAAGAGCCATCGACCAGTTCCAGGAGCCGGAAATCTTCCTATTATACTGATGATGATGTGTCATCAGCTGGCAGAGATAGACAGAGAAAGGAAAGAAAAATCGAACATGGAAGAAGCGTTCTTCCGATCATTAAACGAGGTGTAATGTTTGGGAATCTCAAGCCGATTCCCACCGACCCTAGAGTTGATCCACCGCTTGGATCATGTATCAGCTGTTGGAAGATGGGACACAAGCGCAGTGATTGTCCTAACCCTCAATATGGTTATTGTCGCAATTGTGGTAGGCGTGGAGTCACCATGACTGAATGTCCTCGCTGTGCTGATCAACATAGAATTGACATGTTGAAGAAGTATGGTAAAACTAATTACAATGATTTCAGGTCTGAACGGATCGCAAAAGTTAAAGATAGAATGACAGATTCAGGAAAATTGAGCGTACAAGAGAAGCTCAAAAGGGACGTTGATCAAGGAAGCAGCGTTCAACTAATAGTCAAGAAGCTGAAGAGGGATGAGTCTGAGGTAGAGGTGATCACGATTCCAAAACAGAACATATTGGATGTAGGCCGAGGAACTCAAATGTCAAAAGTGGTCAAATTAGAACGTCCTGAACAAATAATCCTAGAAAAGGAAAAAAACGATGAGAGGAGAGAATCAACAGAGGAGGAAGAATTGGATCGGGACGAGGCATGGGAATTGTTGGAACAAGTTCCAACAGCAACATTAATCCCCCCAAAATTACCTGTAGATATGTCGATTCCACCGCCAAATTGGGCCTTGCCATCGCCCACAATCGCACCACCAATGCTGCCAACCCCAGTAACACACCAAAATGCACCAATACCAACGTTTACCCAACCACCGCCGATGATATCGCAGCCGCCAATCCAGAAGGATGACACGGACCGATTCATCGAGCAAACGCGCTCCTTAGTTCAAGCTCTGGCCGGATTACCAGCTGATGCGGTAACACTGGCCATGAAAGAATTTTATGAGGAAAGACGAAGAGTTATCGACGGGAGAAAATCAACAGATAAACTCTAGGAGTTCGTTCAGTTTAACAAAAATTTATAAGTTTTGTTTCATCTTCTTTTTTGTTTATTATATTTGAGTTCTTTATTAGCGGTTAATTTTTTAGCATCACTACAGGTAGTGACGAATAATTTAATTATTAATTTCGTTTAATTTGAAACGATTTTGACTCGTCTGACATCAGGTTGAACACTGTCCACCGTGGCAGAACGAGATTGTATGAGACGCGCCGAGTCGAGCACATGGCGAGTGTGTGTAAATTTTGAGGTTAAAACCTAGTGTGTTGAGATACTCATAATTTCGAACAATTTTGAGTTATCGAAGTGTATGATACAACCTAAGAGGACTGTGTCAACCAGCGTTCAAATTATTGTTAACATCAGGTCCAGCGTTTGTAACGATAAAACAATACCATTTAGTGAGTTAATTATAATAAATTGAATATTGTTCTTAATTTGCTTGTCTCAGTTAAATCACCCCCCCCCCCCCCTTCCCTTTGTTCAAATAGAGTCTCAAGATAAATTTATTAGTGTAATTATAAAGAATATTCTTTTATTATTTTAAGTAAAAATAAATAAAATAATTGGCGCTCAACTGAGCATTGATTTTGTCAAAAAAATTTGAGCTGAATAATTACTGTTTAACAATTTGAAGGTGACCACAATTTAAGCGTCTTATTGTACTTGGCAGTAAAAGGAGTTTGCTGGTTGAACTAATAATTCTGTCAAGAAAATACGGACGAAGAGAGCCATTAAATTAAGTCAAAATTCTGCAGCAAAAAACATGTCAAGCAACATAAAAAGGTACATTATTAACAAGAAATACTAAACTGTGTAATAAAGATTAGTACAAAAAAAATTTCCAAAAAACTTGAAAAAAAAAAAAAAAAAAAAAAAAAAAAAATTTGACCGAACATAATTTCTACATGTAAATCCAAAAAAATGGGCAGAATTGGGTAATTAGGGACAAAGTTAGAGCATTTTAAAGTTGGCGAAAACCCCTCAAAAACCACAAATTTTTCAGACTATTTTTGTCACGTTTTACAAAAAAAAGTCGAAAAAAATATTTTTTTTTTATTCGCACAAAGAGGGTTCTTTGCAGAAAGTCCTAACGAGTCAGAAAAACGTAGGCTGAGTCAAAACAGATGATTAGAAAAAAAGTTATAGCAATTTAAAAATGGCGAAGTGTCAAAAAAACGCTCCAAAACAACCGAAAATTTAAGGGTTGAAAAAACGCCAATTTTTGGCATGTTTTACAAAAAAACTCCTTAAAAAATGTGTTTACAGAATTTTCCCCAAAAGAAATTTTTTTCAGAAACTCCTAACGAGTCAGAAAAATGTAGGCTCAGCCGAATCGGATAATTAGAAAAAAAGTTATAGCAATTTAAAGATGGGTATACGTTAAGTGCATTTTTGCATTTCAAAAATGGCCTGATCAAGGACCCATTTCTGGGCAATTTTGACAGTTATGACGTCATTTTTCGAAATTTTTCCGAAATTTTTTTTTTTTTACCTAAATGATATTTTTTAAAATCCTTTGAACTGGAGCATCTCTGGGACTCACCAGAAGTGATTTTAGAATAAAAAAAAAGTTTTGAAAAATTTTTTTCAAAGTTGATAAAAATTAAGAAAAAAATTTTTTTTCACGTTGCCGAAAAAAATTTGGCTTTCTAAACAAATCAGAAGTATGTAGGAAAAAAATGAGCCGAATGTGGTAATTAGGGACAAAGTAAGAGCAAAAATTCCAAAAAATTTATTAAAAAGAAAAAATATGTGTGCAAATTTAGCAAGAAAAAAAATGCAAAAAATTTTTTCTTCATGACGCCCTTATAGTTCTAAGTTTATATACTCTTCTGGAGTGTAAATCCAAAAAATTGGGCAGAATTGGATAATTAGGGAGAAAGTTAGAGCAATTTAAATTTTGACTATTGAAAAAACACCGATTTTTAAAAAGGTTTTTTGCAAAAAAAAGGAATAAAAATTTGTTTTACAGAATTCGCACAAAGAGGGTTCATTGCAGAAAGTCCTCACGAGCCTGGCGAACCAAGTCTGAGTCAAAACGGATAATTAGGGACAAAGTTAGAGCATTTTAAAGTTGGCGAAAACCCCTCAAAAACCACAAATTTTTCAGACTATTTTTGTCACGTTTTACAAAAAAAAGTCGAAAAAAATATTTTTTTTTTATTCGCACAAAGAGGGTTCTTTGCAGAAAGTCCTAACGAGTCAGAAAAACGTAGGCTGAGTCAAAACAGATGATTAGAAAAAAAGTTATAGCAATTTAAAAATGGCGAAGTGTCAAAAAAACGCTCCAAAACAACCGAAAATTTAAGGGTTGAAAAAACGCCAATTTTTGGCATGTTTTACAAAAAAACTCCTTAAAAAATGTGTTTACAGAATTTTCCCCAAAAGAAATTTTTTTCAGAAACTCCTAACGAGTCAGAAAAATGTAGGCTCAGCCGAATCGGATAATTAGAAAAAAAGTTATAGCAATTTAAAGATGGGTATACGTTAAGTGCATTTTTGCATTTCAAAAATGGCCTGATCAAGGACCCATTTCTGGGCAATTTTGACAGTTATGACGTCATTTTTCGAAATTTTTCCGAAATTTTTTTTTTTTTACCTAAATGATATTTTTTAAAATCCTTTGAACTGGAGCATCTCTGGGACTCACCAGAAGTGATTTTAGAATAAAAAAAAAGTTTTGAAAAATTTTTTTCAAAGTTGATAAAAATTAAGAAAAAAATTTTTTTTCACGTTGCCGAAAAAAATTTGGCTTTCTAAACAAATCAGAAGTATGTAGGAAAAAAATGAGCCGAATGTGGTAATTAGGGACAAAGTAAGAGCAAAAATTCCAAAAAATTTATTAAAAAGAAAAAATATGTGTGCAAATTTAGCAAGAAAAAAAATGCAAAAAATTTTTTCTTCATGACGCCCTTATAGTTCTAAGTTTATATACTCTTCTGGAGTGTAAATCCAAAAAATTGGGCAGAATTGGATAATTAGGGAGAAAGTTAGAGCAATTTAAATTTTGACTATTGAAAAAAACACCGATTTTTAAAAAGGTTTTTTGCAAAAAAAAGGAATAAAAATTTGTTTTACAGAATTCGCACAAAGAGGGTTCATTGCAGAAAGTCCTCACGAGCCTGGCGAACCAAGTCTGAGTCAAAACGGATAATTAGGGACAAAGTTAGAGCATTTTAAAGTTGGCGAAAACCCCTCAAAAACCACAAATTTTTCAGACTATTTTTGTCACGTTTTACAAAAAAAAGTCGAAAAAAATATTTTTTTTTATTCGCACAAAGAGGGTTCTTTGCAGAAAGTCCTAACGAGTCAGAAAAACGTAGGCTGAGTCAAAACAGATGATTAGAAAAAAAGTTATAGCAATTTAAAAATGGCGAAGTGTCAAAAAAACGCTCCAAAACAACCGAAAATTTAAGGGTTGAAAAAACGCCAATTTTTGGCATGTTTTACAAAAAAACTCCTTAAAAAATGTGTTTACAGAATTTTCCCCAAAAGAAATTTTTTTCAGAAACTCCTAACGAGTCAGAAAAATGTAGGCTCAGCCGAATCGGATAATTAGAAAAAAAGTTATAGCAATTTAAAGATGGGTATACGTTAAGTGCATTTTTGCATTTCAAAAATGGCCTGATCAAGGACCCATTTCTGGGCAATTTTGACAGTTATGACGTCATTTTTCGAAATTTTTCCGAAATTTTTTTTTTTTTACCTAAATGATATTTTTTAAAATCCTTTGAACTGGAGCATCTCTGGGACTCACCAGAAGTGATTTTAGAATAAAAAAAAAGTTTTGAAAAATTTTTTTCAAAGTTGATAAAAATTAAGAAAAAAATTTTTTTTCACGTTGCCGAAAAAAATTTGGCTTTCTAAACAAATCAGAAGTATGTAGGAAAAAAATGAGCCGAATGTGGTAATTAGGGACAAAGTAAGAGCAAAAATTCCAAAAAATTTATTAAAAAGAAAAAATATGTGTGCAAATTTAGCAAGAAAAAAAATGCAAAAAATTTTTTCTTCATGACGCCCTTATAGTTCTAAGTTTATATACTCTTCTGGAGTGTAAATCCAAAAAATTGGGCAGAATTGGATAATTAGGGAGAAAGTTAGAGCAATTTAAATTTTGACTATTGAAAAAAACACCGATTTTTAAAAAGGTTTTTTGCAAAAAAAAGGAATAAAAATTTGTTTTACAGAATTCGCACAAAGAGGGTTCATTGCAGAAAGTCCTCACGAGCCTGGCGAACCAAGTCTGAGTCAAAACGGATAATTAGGGACAAAGTTAGAGCATTTTAAAGTTGGCGAAAACCCCTCAAAAACCACAAATTTTTCAGACTATTTTTGTCACGTTTTACAAAAAAAAGTCGAAAAAAATATTTTTTTTTTATTCGCACAAAGAGGGTTCTTTGCAGAAAGTCCTAACGAGTCAGAAAAACGTAGGCTGAGTCAAAACAGATGATTAGAAAAAAAGTTATAGCAATTTAAAAATGGCGAAGTGTCAAAAAAACGCTCCAAAACAACCGAAAATTTAAGGGTTGAAAAAACGCCAATTTTTGGCATGTTTTACAAAAAAACTCCTTAAAAAATGTGTTTACAGAATTTTCCCCAAAAGAAATTTTTTTCAGAAACTCCTAACGAGTCAGAAAAATGTAGGCTCAGCCGAATCGGATAATTAGAAAAAAAGTTATAGCAATTTAAAGATGGGTATACGTTAAGTGCATTTTTGCATTTCAAAAATGGCCTGATCAAGGACCCATTTCTGGGCAATTTTGACAGTTATGACGTCATTTTTCGAAATTTTTCCGAAATTTTTTTTTTTTTACCTAAATGATATTTTTTAAAATCCTTTGAACTGGAGCATCTCTGGGACTCACCAGAAGTGATTTTAGAATAAAAAAAAAGTTTTGAAAAATTTTTTTCAAAGTTGATAAAAATTAAGAAAAAAATTTTTTTTCACGTTGCCGAAAAAAATTTGGCTTTCTAAACAAATCAGAAGTATGTAGGAAAAAAATGAGCCGAATGTGGTAATTAGGGACAAAGTAAGAGCAAAAATTCCAAAAAATTTATTAAAAAGAAAAAATATGTGTGCAAATTTAGCAAGAAAAAAAATGCAAAAAATTTTTTCTTCATGACGCCCTTATAGTTCTAAGTTTATATACTCTTCTGGAGTGTAAATCCAAAAAATTGGGCAGAATTGGATAATTAGGGAGAAAGTTAGAGCAATTTAAATTTTGACTATTGAAAAAAACACCGATTTTTAAAAAGGTTTTTTGCAAAAAAAAGGAATAAAAATTTGTTTTACAGAATTCGCACAAAGAGGGTTCATTGCAGAAAGTCCTCACGAGCCTGGCGAACCAAGTCTGAGTCAAAACGGATAATTAGGGACAAAGTTAGAGCATTTTAAAGTTGGCGAAAACCCCTCAAAAACCACAAATTTTTCAGA